ATAAGCTGCCAGTTTATGTTGTGTTGGATGGGATGATGAACTGTGTATAGTCGTGTCAGTATGGGTAGGTTTATGAAATATGGAGAAGTCATGTTTGTTTTAAAGTCTGCTAATTTTTAAATTTAAAAAATTTATTCATTGATTTTGTTCTGTTTCTATTGTAAATTCAATATTACTATGAAGTGAATTAATATACGATAAAAAGTGGTCGAGTTGCCTGTTAGTTCCTGTGAAACATACGAGTACGTCGTCTACGTATCTCCACCAATATAAAAACTGTTTGAATACGGGATGTTTTGAAATCTTTGTCTCTAGATGATCCATAAAAAAACAGTGCAGGACTTATAATGGGTAATCCTCTAAGCCCATTGCTATCAGATATTTTTATCGACCATAATCATTCTTTTAATGACAAATTTAAAATTCTTCACATTCAAAATAAAGGCCTTAAGCTATCTTTGTTAGAATCTATGGAAATCAAAAAATTAAAAAACACAGTTATATTTCTGAATGACCAACTTGAGACAAACAGTTCTCCCCCTCCTCAACATATTTCATTAGAGACTATAAATTTGTAAACCCAAGCCAAAAATAGATCACTTGAGAAAGGCAATCAGCCGAAACAGCTGTAGTGATAAGATTTAAAATAAATTTTGTGGAAGTTTGAAAACAAAGTTTTCAGTGTTGTATACCACTTTACATATGTAGACCACAATAATTAATATATAAATACACAATAATTAATTATATTTTTAATTTTATTTCGGATACCTAATATTAGACTCCTGAAAAAGGAAACAAAATGAGTCTGTTGCGACTCTCATGCGCCTATAGGACTGTATCTGCAGCGGCTTTGTGGACTATCACGGGTTGTATTCCTCGATCCTCTGCATGTGTTAGATTTTCTGTGATGATTGAATTGCCAGGAGATTCAAGATTGTCTGGCGCCTTTTGTGCTAGTTCATTCAGCGTTACCCAGGGTGCACGTGTAGTGTTCTACTACGGACGTGAACTAGCTTTACACCCCGAATTTACACCTTTAGAATTTACAAAAATCAATACTGATCCTGAGCTCCGCTCCCATGTCGGAACTTCCGCCAGAGACATAAATAGGCTCTGTTCAAGACACCCACCTCTAAAAACAGCAAAAAGGCTAGTAGATCAAAACTTTAATGTAACTGAACGGCGGAGAGAACAATGGGAGAATAACGCTGCACCAGCTAACTGGAACGTGCCATGTATTACAAGCAAACCTTAGTTTGTAGAATAATATTTTTATATTTACTGTTGTTTGTAATTTATATAATTTATATTATATGTATATATATGAACCTGTGATGTAGCCATACGCTAAATAAATAACTGCATGTGTTAGCAGTAGAAAAGGGACATATCTAAGAGAGAAGAGAGCATTTGATAACAGCTATAAAAAAAAGAAGACAGGGAAAGATTAATGAAAAGATAGCAAAGAGAAGTGACTGGGTAGATTGCCTGTTTTAGGGCTTATCTTCATAGGTTCAAAAATACAGATAAATGCCTATTGCGAATATTCCGACATTGTTACTCACACAATGCTGGAGTGTAGTAGATGTACAGTGGAGAGAAACATAATGTATAAAGAAAAAGGTATGAATTCTGTGACTGTAAGAGAGATGATCGTAAAGATGACGGGAAGTACGGAGGGATGGAATAGTGTTGAACATTATATCCGAGCAGTTATTAAAAGACAGAAGAGAAACAGCAACCGAGCCAACGACAGAGATATGATCTAATTCATCGAGCAAAAAGACAAAAGAAGGAATTTAATCGTTATGAAAAGGAGACCAAAAAAGTGGCCCCTGATGGAGGACATATCCGGAAATGCGAATGCGCCAAATTTAAATGTTTCGACACTTATTAAGAGTAGCTATAAAACAGTTTTCAGAATGTGTCTTAGACGAGAAACTTTAAATAAATATAAACGATATCAGTTAATTGTTAATAAACTTCAATATGACTTAGATTTCATGTGACAGTTGGGACAAACAATAACATAACCCAACTAAATTTGATTTCTTAAAAAAGGAAAGACTCTCTTTCCTTGTTTAATGTGGCCTCTCAAAATAGCACTTCCTGTCTAACAATATTTTTGCCCCCACTACCTTTACATTCTTTCTTTTGTCTTTTTGCTCGATGATCTAATTACTATTTTAATGGGAATTAAAATAGTAATTAGATCAAAGATTAATAGAAAAAATAATAGCGGTTGGTACTGAAGTAAATCTAGCCTTCATCGACCTAGAAAAGGCGTATGATACAGTTCCAAGACTTAAATTGTAGCATTCTTTACAACAACTTGGCATTAGTCAATACCTTTTAGGAATAATCACAGAAGTATACAGAAATAATACTTCGTACCTAAAAATCGGTAAGAGACTACCAGAGCCAATAAAAGTAACTAAAGGACTAAAACAAGAATGCAGTATGTCACTTCTTCTTTTTCTTAGCCTTCTGTCGTCCATGTTTGGACATAGGCCTCTCCCAACTCCTTCCATCGGTCTCTATCCTGAGCAACATATTTCCAATTTGTTCCGGCTATTCTTCTAATGTCATCAACCCATCTCATCTGTGGTCTTCCTTTTGGTCGTTTACTTTCGTAAGGTCTCCAATGTTGTATTGTAGTATTCCAGCGTTGGTCTTTCTGTCTAGCAGTGTGGCCCGGGAAGCTCCATTTAAGTTTTGCAATTTTTATTGTTATGTCTTTGACTTTTGTTTTGGATCTTACCCAGTCGTTCCATTTTTTATCTGACAATCGTATACCTAACATTGCTCTTTCCATTGTTCTTTCTGTTGTGGGTAGTTTATTCATGTTTGCCTTGGTTAGGGTCCAGGTTTGACATCCATATGTCATGATAGGAAGGATGCATTGGTTGAACACTTTCCTCCTCAAGTATTGGGGTATTTTGCGATTCTTAAGTATTCAACTAAGTTTTCCAAATCCTGCCCATGCTAGTCTTGCTCTTCTAGTAATTTTCGCACTTTGGTTCTCTTTGTAAAGTCTCAGGATTTGACCTAGGTAGATATATTCCTGGATTTGTTCTATCTCACTGCCGTTTATAGTTATATGTCTGGGGTCTTCTGTGTTTGTCATTATTTTTGTTTTTTTCATATTCATTTTTAGACCGACGTATTGGGAGCCGGCTGCTAGTTCCCCCAACATAATTTGTATGTCACAGTATGTCACACTTACTGTTTATTTTATATATTGAGGCTACCCTCCAAAATTTTAAAAACTACTACCAGGGCATGGGAATCCCCATAGGAAATGACGTACTGTTCTCCCTGAACTTTGCGGATGACCTAGTGGTCCTAGCTCAAGATTCTTATGATCTAGAATTTATGATAAAGCGTCTATACAGAAAATATTTAAAATGAGGGTTACAAGTCAGCATGAAGAAAACATAATATTTAGTTATCAATTCAGATGTAAGGTTTGATAGATGAGAACGTGGAAATCAAACAAGTGGAAAAATTTAAAGATTTAGGTGCACCCATTGCTTGGGAGACCGAATTGAAACACAGAATTAATTAGGGACGTAAAATTGTAGGATGTCTGAACTCCTTATGGTGGGATCGCAACATTTCCAAAAGAAACAAAAAATGAATATGGCAAATCATGGTTGAATCAGTTCTTTGTTATGGCTCTCTAAAGTATGGACAAATAATGCAGACCTGAAGAAAAGATTGTTGGCAGTGGAAATGGATTATTTGAGAAGAAGTGGTAGAACATCAAGGTAGGAAAGGAAGACCAACGGATCTATAAGAAATAAAATAAATACTACAGAAACGGTCATTAACATAATAAAAAGATAATAATAATAATAAAAAGAATAAAATGGTTTGGACACCTATTGAGAATGCCTGACGAACGTTAGCCCCAAAAACTTCACAAATGGAAGCCCCCTAGAAGAAAAAAATAGAAGTAGGGAGGACCGGGAGGATTCAGAGCCGTCTCCAAAATGTAATAAGTTTTGTTGATGTCAAACGTCAATAAACTTATTTTAACCTTCAATTTGACTTATTCACATTAAAATAGTTATCACTTTAAATTGCCCCAAGAATATGGGAATGAGAAGGGAGTGTTCCAAAAATGTCGTCAGCCTTACAGCGGCTACCCCACTTTCGGAGTACGATACATGCGACAGTCAACTGCGCACTAGTAAGAGAGGGTGCTTTAGTTGGTAGGCAGAATAATAGATACCTTAATTTTTGTCACTGCTATCTTTAGTACTTTAAATTAAACTAAAACCCAAATTTTATGGACTCAAAATGGAGGTAGCATAAAAAAATTTCAAAAGTCCTCCCCCCTTCAAACAAATTCTGTGTACGCCACTGTAATCTGTGTGTAAGTTTTATTTTGTAAGCTTCTTTTTATTATAAAAGTTTAATTTTAAAATCCACCGCACCGTTTGCGTATAGGTATATTCTCTAAAATAATAAGATTTAATATACATTGATTTTGAAATACTCATATCAAAGCTCAATTTCTGATTCAAAGTCTCTTCTCTCCCTCTCATGAAACTTTCTTTTCTATTATTGCACAGTTGATCAGCCACGTTTCATTTGTCCGTACTGTACTTGTTATATCTTGCCTGTAACCGTGTGCAAATCTACATCACAAAGCCTTTTTTAACGTCATCTATAACACGCTTTTCATTTATCGTATTCGTATTCACGTAGGTATTTCAGGAAGATAAGAAATTGCTGATGTAAATAATCATAAGAAAACTATTTAGATATTGGTCTGACTAATTATAGTACCCCTGCAAATTTTTTGACCAATTATAATTGTCTGTTATATACAGTTTTTATTGTATAACTCGCGATGACTGTCTAGAGCTTTAAATGAATAAGAACTATTATGATACATTTATTCCTTATTATTTTGCCACTTAGTCACTTAGTTTGAAACCGTGATCATTTACTGTTAGTGCTAAAAGTTGCAGAAATTGTTCAAAAAAATGAATTTGGGGGAAACAATGCTTTTATATAGTGTTCTTTTAGATATTTTAGCGCTTACGTTAATAACGATAGGAGTGGTGTTTCGGAAATCAAATTATGGTAAGTAAAAAACTTATAATAATTGTAGTTTTTGATTTTGAACTTTGAACTTTTTGTTGTCGTAGTTAAATAGGGTGTATTTCTTTTAAGTTGTGAGAGTCTCTTAAAAGTTTAAGATGTAACTTTTCCACGTTGCTCCTTTAATATTTTATCAAAATTATTAGAAATGTTCCAATATATTATTATTTTACCATATTTTTTTAATTTGTTCATTTTTTATTTTTATTAGATTTATGTCTGTATGGAACTGATTTCTAATTTAATATGTCGTAATTTATTGCGATAATTTAACCTGATTTATTTCTGAAAAAAATTATTAATGTTAATAAAAGTTTCTCAAAGTTAAGTTATGTTGAATACTCATTGCTGGGCCATACCATTTCAGTTATATTCATTTTAAGACTATCCTTCTGTTAGCTCTGAGTATTCCAATATTTAACATTGACCTCCACTTAGCTCCTCCATATTTCTCTATCCCGATTTGCATCTTAGTTTTGCTATTTGACTGGCAGTACCTTTAACTTTTGGAACGATTCTTATCCAGGTATTCCTTGTTCTACCTGACAGTATATCTTTTTTTGTATTGCCCCTATTGCTCTTTTTGTATTTGTCATTCTATCCATATAGCTCTTACAAATGTTCAAGTTTGAAATCCATAAGTATGGACTAAACAGTTTCGTTTAATCGAATTAATTCATATTCAATCCAACTTTTCTAGCTTCTTAGGCTATATATTGTAAAATTTTCTCTAAGTGTTCTTCGATATCCTCTACATTCCTTAGGTGGTTAAAGTATTCTCCATTATTGTTGATTTCATATTTCTTCTATTGCAGATTCTAGAAAACATTTTCTAGTGCTTGGTTGAAAAGCTTTAGCTTCTAACACCTTTTTGTGTAGATATGGGTATGATGTTTTGATTGCGTTTAAGTTGATTGCGTTTAAGTTGATCGTTGTTTTCGCATTATTATATATATTGGAGATATCTCTATATTCTACTATTCTGTAGAGAAAGTTTCACTCATAGTGCTGTATGTAGTCAAATACATGTTACTTAAATACTCAAATACTTACCCAATTAGTACCTTTATTGTGAAAGTTTTTGGTAGCTCCCAAAAAAACTATTCTGTTTTTTTGATAATCATTTCGTCTGTGATCGAAATGATTACCATCTATCCTCTCCATCTTATAAGAAACAAGAAATACTAAATTATTATTTAAATTATACAAGACATTTCGCAAATTATTTACTAAACAATAAATACACATTATTCAGAACCCGATATTCGAGTGAGTCATGGATTTACGGATTTATCTTCAAGATTATGTTACAATCAGAAAAAGATTAAAAATATTTGCAATACGTTAATAATTATTTCAAGTTTTAATCCAATAGTATATTGGAGAGGGTGAGTCACTCTCAAAACGAAATCTGACACCGTAAACTATTGAAGAATATAAAAATTACAGTGGCGTCTTGGTTTCATTTTTTTTTTTGGGACTTAATTATTTTAGTAATAGTTAATTACATTGTGATGTCTCTGTAGGTTACTTTGTCATTCCTCACTTCCCCAGTTTTAAATAGGTATTGTATTTATAATGAAAGTACTAAACCATAATCGATTGGAATGAGAATTACGATATTTTAATTTTAAAATTTTCTTCGTTAATATTATTTTTATAAAAAAAGTAATCGACTGTCTCGTCTGAACTGTACCACAGATATTTATCGCAAAGCAAAGGTTTTTTTATGTAGCTTTTGAATCTCCAGATTGTCAATTAAAAATATCTTCGTTTTTTAATTAAATTACGTTTATTATCTTCCATTTGACTTTGCTACAACCTTAATAAAATCGTCGAAGTCGTAAATATTTCCTTCATTTGTGATCTTCGTGTTCTGTACCACACCGTGATGAACAGAATCCGCACTCATAAAGTTGTGGCCTGCCCTAAAACATTTAAGGGTAATTTTAGAGGTGGCAATCATTTTTGAATTTACCAGTGCGACAAACATGGTCAATAAGCACAAATTTTTATTTTGGGCTGAGCAATTGTCTGTCCAATACAATACTTTAACGGCGTCCCTTTCTTTATCTACAACTCTACAATATGCAGATGCAATTTTTGCTGCCTTTGTGTAAGCCACTCCTTCATGCCAATGATATGTTTTTTTGGTGCTTCTACTCTTCTTGTTTTTCATTGATGCAAAGGTTAAATGAGATTGAAAATGAGATTTGTACAGATAATTTGAAAATGACTATAATTTGACTTCGAGAGTGAACACCTTTTCACTGTCAAAGTTTGCAAACTACTTAGTTTCATTTAACAAAACTTAAAAAAATAATTTAATACTAACTAATATTGAGTATTTTTTTGGAAGAGATGTAAATATATGTCATGAATAATTGATTTTATTTTGTTTTGCAGGAGTTTCATCCCCGTCTCACACGCTACATTTTATAGTGATTGCACTGAAGCTGTTCAGTGATATAGTTATCAAGCCGTGCAACAATATTGATTTATTTATTTTGATAACCCTGTGTACTACGATTCCTTTGGCATTTTTAAGCTGTTTCTTTTGGTGGTACTTCCCTACTAACCAACGACGATCTACTCCCAAAATTTATGTCGCAATATTATATGGATCATATATCTACATTGTCTACCTATTTATTTCTGATGATAAATTTATTCCAAGGGTAAGTTGTTAATATTATTAATGTATCAAAAAAGGTAATTAATTTTTATTGCTAATAAAATGAGTCATTTTAGTAACTAAAATTTTAGTAACTTTTAAAAATACTAAGCAAAATGATATTTCAGCATTGCTTATAACAATTGTATGTTGCCTATATTTGGCGCAGCTCAACGACTGTAAACTCCCATAACTTTTTTTATAAATTATACCGTTTTACAGATAAAAGAAGCTTTCTTTCTTCATGCAATCGATAAAAATATATATGGAAAATTTAATGGATTTAATGGATACTCAATTAGATTGTAATATTCAAGTTTATTTTTAGTTATTGTTTTATTAAATTTATAATTGTTAAAATATTTTTAAAATCAGAGGAATTTTTAACTTTATTGCACAGAAAATGTTGAAAAATAGTTTTTTTTTATTGTAAATTAACATGTTGTTAAACATATTTTGTTTGTATATTAATTTTCAATACGTAAAAAACAAAAATATTTTACTCTCGAGTAAAAATAACAATTTTTAAAACACTTCATATAGAACTAATAAAACTTAATATAATATGATGGTTTATGGTATAGGTATACAGGGTGGGTGGGGAGGAACGCACCAAACTTTAAGACTGTATAATATACATAAAAATAACTCATATGTTGTTATTCGATTTTCATTTGTTTTCGAGTTATAGCGATAATAACACTATAACAAGTTGTAATTTTACTGCTACTTATCACATTGCTGTACCTAACAGGTATCTGTGATTCGTTTAATAATTAGTTAACTGTCATAATAGTGTAGTGTCAACGTGATTTAATGTCTATTTGACAGTTTGTATAAAAAAAGTTGTTGCAAAATGCCACATACTTATTCAAATAGTGATTATGAAAATATGGTGTTTGTTTATGGCTTTTGTAATGGAAACGGTAGAGCTGCTGTTGAAGAATATCGTCAACGGTTTCCAAATCGGAGAACTCCAGATAAAAATGTATTTATTAGAGTTTTCAACAAACTATGCGAGACCGGAACGCTTCCTAGTTATAAAATAATATCGGAACGTGCTCCCCGACAAAGTTTACAAGAAATACAAAATATTCTGGATTCAGTAGAAGATTATCCAGGGATCAGCTCACGAAGAATCGGTACTCATTTAGCCATTCCTCAAACGAGAGTAATTAACACACTTCACGAGCAAGGTTTATATCCATACCACCTACAACGTATACAGCACCTACAACCAGAAGATTATGCCAGCCGTATGCAATTTTGTCGTGTTATATCCCGCATACTTTTTACCGATAAAGCAACATTCACCAGAGACGGTATTAATAATAGCCGCAACTCACATGTATGGTCAGATGAAAATCCACATGCAACAATTGAAGCTAGTTTTCAGCACAAATTTTCGGTAAACGTATGGTGTGGTGTGATCGACGGTTATTTAATTGATCCTTTCATATTTGAGAACCGCCTTACAGGAGAGGAGTACTTGAATTTTTTACAGAATGAATTGTCAGGACTCCTACAGAACATTCCACTAAATATCAGAATGCAAATGTATTATCAGCACGATGGAGCTCCTGCACATTTTGCTCGTCAGGTCAGGCAACATTTAAATACAAAATTTCCAAGGCGTTGGATTGGTCGCAATGGTCCTATTAGTTGGCCTCCGAGGTCTCCAGACCTAACACCATTAGACTATTTTTTATGGGGCTGGTTTAAAAATGAAGTTTACAAGGTAAAAGTCGACACTCGCGATGCACTAATTCGACGCATTAAAAATGTTGCAGCCACAATTAGAGCAAACCATGACGCAATCAGAAAAGCAACGTTGAATCTTCATAGACGAAGCAGAAAATGCTTACAGGTCAATGGTGGTATTTTTGAAAATTTATTATAAGAACATTTAACATTAAATTAATGTTAAGTTACAACTTTGTGTTATTATCGCTATAACTCGAAAACAAATGAAAATCGAATAACAACATATGAGTTATTTTTACTTATTTTTACGTATATTATACAGTCTTAAAGTTTGGTGCGTTCCTCCCCACTCACCCTGTATAAGTATATATTAATTGTTTCTATGGGAAAATAATATTGCTTTTACTATTTTCCTTACATTTTGTATAAGAGTTTACCTGTAACATATATAGCATTAGATAGATTATATATGTAATTAATTTTATTTTGGTTATATATACGTATAATAATATAATATAGCATATAATAGATAAAATATATATAACAAAAAATTACTAATTTATTTTATTTTAGGTGATGCTACGTTTTTGTCTATTTTTACAAATGGTAGAGTACCTTCCACAAGTACGAATGGTTGTAAAAGCAAAAAAAATCGATTTGCATGTTGCAGCGTACCTGGGGATATTGTTCCTTTCCAGAATCTGTTATATGGTTTACGTCGCATACCGTTACGACAATCCAATTAAAATGTATGCTAAATTTCTGCTTTGCATTAATATCTGCACTATGGCGTTTATTTTAATATTCTTATTGTTTTCTAATGTTAAAATGTTACCATTAGTAGAAAATAAGCATGCCAATAGTCCATTAGTTGAAGAATGTACTGAAAAAAATTTCCTTCATGAAGTTGAAAATAGAGTTGTAGTTTTTTATGAAAACGACAAAGAGAATCCATCTAAGCAAAGAAAACCTGTGAGATGCTAATCACTTTTGCTACTGGTTAGGGACTGGTATTTATTATAAGTATTCTACATAAAATATGTCATAGTATTAGTTTGTTTTAAATCCATATAGGCGTTTGTAAGTAACAATTGAGGAGTCAAGAGAAAAACCATCTGAGTCCACAAAAAGAGTTTCCATGAAAATCGAAATTTAATGTTTCAAATTAAAAGAAATTGTTTCAAGTCAACCGTGTAAATCGGTAATTTTTTTCAGTGGTACGTTAACATGTTTACAGAGGAAAAATGAAGAGAAGACAAAAATATTTTATTTGCGAAACATCATACAAAAAATTCCGGCATGGACCATGATTGTCTTCCCCAGTACCTCCAAGCTTATGCGTCACAAAATGTAAATGGTAAATCAATAAACAGTATCAGTGCTTTTGGAATTCTGTTTACGCTCCATATTAGAAAAAAGTTTTCTATTTTGTACTCATTTTTTATACTTCTGCTTTTTGTCTAGTTTTTACTCATATAAAAAATCTGACAAGTTGTGCTTTCTCTGCTTGTAACTTTGGGTTTTTACTTTACTTCCATCTTTTTTGAGCTACTTATCTTTGTAAGATAAATATTTTTCTATAATATACTCTTATATAATCAACAAAGACTTTTGCTTAGTATCACATAACTATTTGGTTTGATTAATTTTTTTATTGTTTATCCTTTTCTCAAAGATAAACTGCTTAGAGACAGAGAAAGAGAGATAGAGAGATATATAGAGCAATAGAGATAGATGGAGAGATAAAGAGAGAAATAGAGATAGAGAGACAGATAGAGAGAGATTAAGAGGAAAAAGGTAGAAGACCAACCAAACAATAAATAGTTTAAAATTTATTTATTACGTTGACCAAAATTTTTATCAAATTTAATATATATATATATATATATATATATATATATATATATATATATATATATATATATATATATATATATATATAAATTACAATATTTTAACGAAATTACACTTAAAATAAGAAAATATTCACACATACATATCAAGGTTAAAATACTTATTTGAAAGGGTTGAAAGCCTACCAGACAAAAGCAATAAAACTAAACGATTATCCTACCACCGCGCCACTGGCACTAATAATAACAGCTACCTAGTTTACATACCCTTACCCTTCACAACATCAATACATTTCTCAATGAATCTAGTCACGGAAAAGTATCGATTTACCGGATACAAACATGTGGTAGTAGGTTTTATAAAAATTCAATAATAACTCGTGTTGTACAAAAAAAGTATGATGGGCTATCTTTATGTGGGTTGGAGTCGACCAACAGTTTTTAGTAATTGCTGTAAATTGTTCAAAATTGGGTATACATAGCAGTTATTGAGAATTAAAAAAAAAAATCAAAATATAGTTCGCCATCGAAATAGTTCTAATGAACGATTCTTTCAACTGAACTAATTGAACTAGTTCATTAATTTTCATAGAACTAGTTCACTGCGAACGATTTGCATTATAAATTATGTCTCGACTTCTAAAGAAGAAAATAATGAATGAATGAATTAGAACATATATTTATTATTTTGTGAATGGATGGACTAACTAGTTTAAAAAAATGCCGATTAGCCTCAGATAACAGATTCATAATTCTTATGAATGTGACAATACCATAAGGTCTTATCTTAATGTCATAATGGTTTGGATCTTATGCCCATGTATTGGCTTGGATGTTGCCATGCTGTGTTGTTTCTTGGATTGTAATTTTGAAATAAAAATTTTAGTTGTGGTTAAAATGATTTTCATTTTCCCTTTTACATAAAATATAATTTTATGTAAAAGTGAAAATAAAAATGTGTTATTTAATGTTCCTAGAAAATTCACTAATTTTTTTTTTGTAAAGGTTCTTTTAGAAATAACCTAATTATAAATACCATGAGTTTAAATATACGTAAATATAAAAATAAATCATACTTATATTTATATTTGTATTTAAAATGGTTAATAAAAAACAAATCTGAATAATTTTTTGCAAATAAAAACTAACTAATCATATAATAATTTAAACCATTTAAACCTAAACATACGACCGAATGAAATAGTTCTGAACTACTTGTACGGTAGTGAACTAGTGAAAGACTGACTGAAAGAAAGAAATAGTTCCGAACTACTTGTACGGTAGTGAACTAGTGAAAGATTGACTGAAAAAAAGAAATAGTTCTGAAATACTTGTACGGTAGTGAACTAGTGAAAGACTGACTGAAAACCGGCTGAAAACCAGTAAACGGGCGGCCAGCGCCGAGCTTGTGTGATGATTGAGACGTGACATCTGGCAACCAGTTCTGTTAGGGTTGGATTTCGATGTCGGTCCTACAAATAGTTCTTGCGCGAACTAGTTCACTGAACTAGTTAATTTTTGTGAAATAGTTCTGTTAAACTAGTTGGTCTAAAAGAACTAATAAGCACCCCTCCATATCACACTGCTTTAATCCTTTTGTTACAAATTTAATTGTAGCAAAACAAAATGGTTTGAAATTACTTTAGTGATATTTGTTATATACATACAGCTGGTTCATAAAAAATCTGATACGACTTCTTCTTCTTTAAGTTCCATCTTCTATTGAAGGTTGGAAATCATCATGGCTATGCGGACTCTGTTGACTGCCGCTCTAAAAAGTTCTGTACCACTGCATTCAAACCATTCCCTTAAGTTCTTAAGCCAGGATATTCTTCGTCTTCCCACATTTCGCTTTCCTCGGATTTTGCCCTGCATAATAAGTTGTAATAATGCGTATTTTTGCCCTCTCATCACATGTCCTCAAGTATTCAAGTTTTCGTCTTTATTTAGTTAATATTATTTCCGCCTCATTTCCTATCCTTCTAGTTACTTCCATATTTGGTATTCTTTGAATCCATGATATTCGTAGGATTCTTTTGTAACACCAAAATTCAAAGGTGGCCAGCTTATTCAGATGAACTTGTTTGAGTGTCCAAGCTTCCAGACCATAAAGAAGAGTAGAGAACACGTAACATCGAAGCATTCTCAGGCGTAGTTCTAACCTTATATCCCGACAACAAAGAAACTTTTTAAGTTTAATAAATGATGTACGTGCTATTTCAATACGTGTTTTAATTTCTTTGGTTTGGTATACATCTGATGTTATCCATGTTCCTAAATATTTATAGTTATTAACATTCTCAATTACAGTATCTTCAATAGTCAATTGGATATTTGCATGTGCAGATTTAGTCATGATCATGCATTTAGTTTTCTTTAAATTCAGTCCGTACTCATGACAGCGTTCATTAAGGCGTTGCATTAGGTTCTGTAAATCATTGTTGTTATCCGTAATTATTACTGTATCGTCTGCAAAACGTAGGTTATTCAAAACTTCTCCATTGATAGATATACCTTCTATTGAGTCTGAGAGCGCTTCTTGAAATACCGCTTCACTGTAGACATTGAAAAGTAGTGGGGACAGCACGCAACCCTGGCGGACTCCTCTCTGTATTTTGATATTTTCGGTGTACTGGCTGTCAACTCTTACCTTGGCAGTTTGATTCCAATATAAATTAGGTAAATTATGATACGACCATTAAAGCGTATTTTTAGAAAATTGAGCGGTGTATTTTAAAGGATAAATACTATTTACATACTGTTACTATGCTAAGTTACTGTACTACTATACTGTTACTGCTAAGTCTTAAAATTTGTCAAATAACTTATTCTAACCAACCTCAAAAAATGCAAAACTAAAAGCAAGGATTGTAACGTAATTAGAAGTTGTTTGGTCACTATCTGCCATCGTGAACTATTTTAACGTACACAGTACAACAGTTTTTAATATTAATAAAAGATTAAGAGAACAAGAAACTCGCGAAAGAAAGCGTTCTGGAAGACCAAAAATATCATAAAGATCGTAAGCTTTTGGAGAGATTAGAAGAGAATCCTTTTTTACACAGTTTCCGGAAAAAAAGACAACAACTTATCGCAGAATTAAAGCATCGCGTCTTAGGTACTGAACTGCAGCAAAAAACAAGCTCTTACACGACAACAGAAGCAATCAAGACTTATTTGCCCTATAGACCACAAGCTACAAAATCAAGATTTTTGGGACAGGGTAATATTTACAGATGAGAGTTTTTCTTATATTTAAAGGATTATGACAATCATAAACAAATACATATAATTTTTATTTTTAAATTACCGAACTTTGATTTTATACTTTTTAAATACTTTTAATTTTATAAATTCGTCTAAAGAAATATTTTAAACTCCTCTAGCTTATTATTTAGTAACGATGACAGTATTAATAACCTTCTACTACGGACGGGGAGCCCACATGACCAGCGACTAAATTCAAATTACGCGCAATTTTTTTGTTGTTATACGTTTGTGACCCGCAATTACCTTTAAGTTACAGTGAAGTCCATTGCTTCACTTATTGATTTTTTTTTAGTAGTGTGGTATTAAGTTTATAACTTTTTAAAGTTTGAAAGGGATCATTTTGGCACCACGTCAGTGTTTGTCAAAAATTTACAAAAATGGCAGGTTCGTCCAAAACAGTACATTACGCTGATATGAACTATGAAGGAGATATAATTATGAAAAAACTCTGTTAGCATGGCATGACGAGGTAGAAAGTGATGTTAGCGATATAGGAGAGTCAGCTGGCTATTTAAATGACATTGAAAGTAAGCATGATACAGAAAGTGGTGAAAAAGTTGAAAATTGAATGAGTTATTATGGTAAAAATAGATTTAAGTGGTCGTCACAACCTTTTTTACAGAGAACGAGCACAGAGAAACATAACTTACTTTCGTATTTACCAGGAGTTCGTGATGATGAAAACAGTTGGGCAAAAGTGCATCGCCTTTACAAATAGGGATGCGTCTAATCGATTATAACATTCTAGCTAGGAAAAAATGTGAAAACTACAGAGGAATT